TGCTTTGTCCAAACCAGGACTGCAGAACCCAGTTTCATCCTGGTTTCTAATCCTCATTAGCAGAGAGCAGTTAAGACCATAGCTTCCCAGCTATGGAAAGAGAGGTTGAGTAAACCAGGAAGTCCAGGCTCAAGCCTGACACACCAGAGGAGAGGATGGGAAGGAACATGGAACGCCTTCCTGCTGCAGTGAAACGCAGTGGGATAGATGCAGACACTCTGATGTAACACTGGTGCTGAAGGAATAGGCAAGGAGGCAACTTTCCTTCCTCCCCTTGCAGTCCCCATTTTCATTTCCTAAAAGTCTGCTCTGGAGAATTGGAGGCCCTCTAGAACAGTGGAGGAGATAGCACAGCAGGTGGCTGCAAAGGGAAATGGGCAGGGATTGCCCCCCACTGCTCGATTCTGTGGGCAGGCACATTCTGAATGTGCACATGAGTGCACACAGATACCCTTAATACTGCAAAGTAGCCCTGGGTTCACAGAAAGTGCTCAAGCTACAGACTGGCCCTCTCATGAATTCCTCAAGGACATTTATTACATTCTTGGCTTCTTGCATTTCTGCATGTTCCACTTTCACAATCTTCAAGAGGACATCACCGCTGCCACAGTTCTTCAGAAACAAGTAGCACTTGAACAGGGCGTAATGGTTCATTTCTGCCTGCCTGATGAACCGCTTTAAGTTGTTGATGTCTTGTATGGCCTAGGAAGACAGAAGCAAAGAAGCATCCAAATGGCCCAACCAAGGCAGGGCAGCAGGCTTCTGAAATAACATTCTTAGCTAGAGGGAAAACTTTTTTTTTATAAAAAAAAATTATAAATAGGTGCAGTGCATAATTCCTCCCCCAGTACAGTGAGCAAAAAGCAAATGGGCAAGAGTAAAGAATTCAGAAGGGCAACAAGGGTGCTGGATTTGTCTCTTTCTGATCCCTGAAAAGCTGCTGATTGTTACTTCTTTATGGGCTGCTGCTATATAAGTACACACACACACACACGCACGCACGCACAGTTTCAGGGCCCTCTTTTATAGCAGGTCAATGCAGGACTTGGGAGTAGTAAATGGGAAGCTCTGTCAGAAGAATTTCTTTGCCTTAAATTAAATCAGTGAGGACAAACACAATGGGCAGAATCTACATTAAACACTTAACTGCCATTGATTTCTGCAAAAAAGAGCAAAGCAAGCACTTGCCTCTCCAACCAAACTGAACAGAATGCAAAATAGTGTCAAGGTGTAATCCTATGGATGTCTGTTCAGTGTGGAAGCCAGTGGGACTTAGTCCCAGGTGAGACCATCTAGGACTGTAGACACCCACATTTCACAGTATGGGTATCTCTTGCTTTACTTTCCTCAACTAGAGCACATGGCTTGCTCTGTTCCACTGGTAGCTATTCCCAGATCGAAGTCACTTTTTGCAGTGTACTCTCAGAATTCAACAAGGAAGGAACAGTATTGAAAAATCCAGCAGCCTGATTCTCTTGCCAGTTATGCCCAAGCACTAAGATTCAAGACAATAGCCAAGGTTCACATGATCAGGGAGGAGAAACAAGCCACAGTGACTTATTTTCCTTCCCCATGTGCACAGGTCATGAGCTGCCTATTTAGCATTATTCCCAGATTATTATTACCTCCCATCTTTATACTAAAATTCCTCTACTGCCACCCTGGGGGACTTTGAAAAAGAAAAAAAAAATCTCTTGTTTTATTTTAAGTATTGCCCCCAAATAATGATGAAGCACATGTGCTTACTCAGAGTCACAGAGGTGAGCATAGCTGTGTGAGGAAGAAGCTGCAAGTAGTTGCCAAGGAGGCTGCACATGTCAAAGAAAGATGACAAATCAAACTTTCACGTTCAGTCACCTCCTTCTAAAAGGTAAGTCCCTCCCCTGTTCCAAAGACATGGCACACATGTGTCAGCTCAGACACTTTGCATGGCAAGGAGGTGCAGGGGACATAGGAAGACAGAACACAGAAACAGAGTGAGTCAAAAGGGGCCTCCCGGGCCACCTAGTCTGACCTCCAGCACCAGCCGGCTTCACTCACGACATGCCCACCATGTGCATGTCCAGCCTATCTTTGAACACCCTCACCGATGGGGCCTCAATGACCTCTCATGGAAGCCCATGCCACACCCTCGGGGTCCTAACTGTCAGGAAGTGCTTCCTGGCATCCAAATGGACCTTGGTTCCCTGAGCTTTGCTCCGTTGGAGCACGTCCTGCCTTCCTCTGCAGGGAAGAACAGGTCTCTACTCACCTCCGTGTGGCATCCCCTCACATACCTGTATGTCGCCAACACATCCCCTCTGAGTCTCCTCCAGGCTGAAGAGACCCAGTTCCCTCAGTCTCACCTCATACCCCATCCCCTGCAAACTGGCCACCAACCTTGTGGCCCTACGCTGCACTGACTCTAACCCGGCTATATCCTTCCTGTAATGAGGGGCCCAAAACTGAACACAATACTCCAGTTGCAGGCGCACCAGAGTTGTATAGAGTGGTAGTAATACCTCTCTCGATCTAGAAGCCACACTTCTGGCTATGCAACCAAGGATGGTGTTCACCCTCTTGACCACCACATCACACAGAGTGCCTTCACAACAGAATTGTCTGTTAGCAGCAGCAGCAGCAAAGAACAGCAAGCCATTAACCCACTCACCACAGCTTGCTTTTTATTGTGATGTGTGAACCAGCCCAATAGAATGTGGTAAGTGAAAGAGAGCAATCCAAGGCTATTAAAACTTAGAGGAATTGTGCTGTTGACATCAGTTGAGGGCAGACACTTCTATCTCTAACTAAATGTATAACAAGGATGGATTGGATCATGTCCAATGGGCATTCAAAAATTTAACACTGCAAGCAGCAAACTTGATTCTACCCTGATTCATTAGTATGAGAAAGCATTCAAGACATCTACTACCCCCTTCATCACACACAACGTGAGCGGCCAACTTGGAGCCTACCAGCTGCTGGTGGACTGCAACCCATCATCTCACCATATGGGCTCTGCTGGCCACAGTCCAACATTTTCTGTGACTGCCCAACCTGACATAGAGAGAAGAGCGAATTACCTTCAATTTAAAATTCTCTAGTATTTGCCGGAAAATAAATGGATTTCCCCCTTCAGAACCATTGAGAAATGCTTGCATCCAGTCTTCACAGAATCTGTTGCTTCCTGACACAGGTTTGGAAATAAAAATAAGTCCTTTAAGGGTGGTACAGTTGGCTTACAGTGCACCTCAGCATAATCTCTTAAGTAACTTGAGAGGTATAATCTGGTCTATAAAACATCGTCCGCACTATCCAGAGGGTGTTAAAAAAGACTGGAAAATACACAACTCACAGATGCATTATACTTCTATAATGGAAACATATTATATACTGTTTTCAGGTCCATGTCAGTAATGAGCAGAAGAACCTATTTGGCTTATCCATAGCAAGGAAAAGACTAAAGGGCAGGTCATAAGCAGAGGCAAAGAAAATCGGTTTCTGGGGAAAACTCGGCTACTTGGAAGTTTCTTGGAGAAGAATCAGCATCTCAAGTAGACTCAGTGGCCAGAAGCACCTTCCTGTAGCTATGTTTAATTTACCAGCTTTGGTCCTACCTGGGCAGACAGACCTTTGCCACAGATATCCACGTGCTGGCGACCTCATGGCTGGACTATTATAATGCACTCTGCGTGGGGTTGCGTTTGAAGATGGTCTGATGACTTCAGCTGGTCCAGAAGAGGGTGGCACGGTTGCTCGTGAGAGCACATTATGCCAATTCTACTCCATCTCCATTGGCTGAGTTGAAGCCCAGGCCCAATCTGAAGTGCTTGTTTTGACTTATGAAGCTCTAAATGGCTGGGTCCAGGGTGCCTCTCACATGCACCTAAGATCTTGTTTAGAGGCACTTCTTGAAGTGCCTGACTAGAAGGGAAAAAGTGAGCTCACCAGCATTGTGGAAGTGGGGCTGCGCTCCGCTGAAGTCTATCACAACCGGTTTATGTTGTTCCTCCGTCAGGGCTTCACTTAAGGAGGTCATTGTGGTTTCCCGGACAAGATCCTGAAGGCTTGCAGCTCTAAGGAACCTGAAAGAGGGCATGAACCATTTTAGGGGTGTTTATAGTTTTACACTAAGCCAAAGTCAGGGAGAAGACCAGGCAAGGCAGCCTATGGGGAATGCCATCTTACAAGGAAATGCTCTCTTACCTGTCAATGTCCTTCTTTGTCCTTTCATCAGACTCTCTGACTTCAACTGGAGTACAACTCAGAGCCTTGAAACAGGGAAGTCACAATGTCACTGCTTTGTCCAATGACAAAGATCTAGGTTGCATTCCTAACTGACCTGAGAGTAAGCCCCATGGGACACTTCTGCTGCAAACTCTTCTCATGCAAGTCTTCTGCTCTACTGTATCCCTTTTAAGCAGTAACCTGAACCCCTCACAGCATTTCATGTGTCGGCACATCTTCCACAGCTCCCATGCACTGCACTGGCATGTTTATCACCATCGTCGGAGGACTTCTTCCCCGTTCAGTCACTGCTAGATTCAGGCCCCACCAACTTGTATGTGAAGTTGGGATTTTTTTTGCCCCAGTGTGCTTTCTTTTACTTCTCTACTCTACTTCTGCGTAGACACTTGCAGAGTTAGGTTGTTATCAGCAACTTTGTTTCCAGACACTATCAAACAGTAGAGATGGTTAAAATACCGCTTCTTCACTTGGCTTCCAAAGCGCTTGTGGCAGTGTCACCCTCCACTTTCTCCTCACAAGAGAGAAAGAGATAAAGTGACCATATGGTAAGGTCACCCAGTGCAAGGATCTGAACCCAGCTCACTGAATGACCATACACTACCATTCATCAGTAGAAAATTTGTTTATCTTGTTCTCTGAACCACATTAAGATTAGCAGTCCCTAAAATCAGTGAGAAACTGCACATATCACACTAAACCATTCTGAGAATGAACCACCATGGGTAGGTTGTTTGTTCACTAACCAGAGAGGAACTAAGTGACTTGCCATGGCTTGCTTCTCCTGCCAGCTTCCAACATATTTCCTAGATGCCATTGCAGCAGAAATCCTTACCCTTAAAGAAAGGCACCCTGAACATCCCAGCAATGAGCTATGGATTCCCAGGGCAGCTTGTTCGGGAAAAAAAGAAGACACCTTGTAGAAACCATGTCAGATTTGGATGCTACAACAATCCACCATGTGCAGTCACCCATGGTGAACCAGGTCTCTTGCAGCTGTTATCTTTTCAGTAACTGTACCAGTAAATCTTAGTTTTAGTAGAGAAATGCCACTTTTCTGAGCCATTTATCAGGAACTAGGATTTCTAAAAAGGTGGCTTAATCTCTTTTTAAAGTGAATGCTTTTCTATTATCAGAGTTATTTATTCTCATCCTATTAAAACTATTCCATTTCAAATCTTCATCCCAGATCAACAGCTCAAACAATTGAAACTTCCTTTCGTGAGGTTACTTACTTACTTAGATTTCTAACCCACCTTTTTCATTTAAAAAACTCAAAGTGGCTTTACATCATTCTTCTCCTGCTCTCAATCTTATCCCCACAACAACAACTACCCTGTGAGTTAGGTGGGGCTGAGAGTTTGTGACTGGTCCAAAGTCACCCAGTTCATGATTTCAGATGAATAATTCCTACCCATGCTAATCAAAGAATACGGTGTAGCTATTCCACATTTCTCTCTTCAACAGATTTTCTGTGATAATAAAAAGATGGAGGGAGCAGTGTGAAAGCACAAGATGGGAGACGTGAGCAGGACCCCCCTCCCCAATAAAGTTGTTAATGAGGCTAGTTGATTGCACAATAAAAGCTTGATTGGGAATCACCCTGAGTCTCATAATGCATTTAATAACACTATTAAAAGCTACTATGACTAATGTGACTTTTCTTTTACCAGTGCTACACACTCATGCACAAGCAGGACAGAAATGACAAGCTGAAAAGTAATACTGAATTTGCACAACACTCACAGCATGTAACAGAAAGGCCAGTTTCTCCTGGAAGAGCTGTACCACCCTCTGGATAGGGCACACACAGTCCTCGAACCAAGATTTGAGGAGAGGTTTAATGCAGGTCTCCAAGTTATTTTGCTACAACAAATTGAACAAAGTTAAACTTCTTTGTATAGCTGTAGTTTTTACCCTGACTCAACTACTTCAGACAATCTCCACTCAGGGAGTGCAGATGGTCCATTCTAAGTTTCATTATTTGTTTTTCGGTGCCAGGCGAAGACCTTTTTATTTAAACGTCATTTTAATTGTTAATATTATTTGCTTATTTTATCTGGCCAGGGCGACTTATTTTATATTGTTAATTTGTTGTATATTTGGATGTATTATATTTTAATTTTATGTTGTGAGCCGCCCCATTCGCCGAAGCCTCGGGGCAGCTCACAACATAAAATTAAAATATAATACATCCAAATATACAAC